ATTATTAATAATTATTATTAATAATTATAATAATAATAATTATTATAATAATAATTATAATAAAAATAATTATTATAATAATTATAATAATAATAATAATTATGATAATTATTATAATAATAACAATTTTAATAATAATAATTAATAATAGTAATTATAATATTAATAATAATAATAATTGTTATTATTATAATAATAATAATAATTATAATAATAATAATTATAATATTAATAATAATAATAATATTAATAATAATAATTATAATTATAATAATGATGATAATAATAATAATAATAATAATAATAATAATATAATAATAATAATAATAATAATAATAATAATAATAATAATAATAATAATAATAATAATAATTTAATATTATTAGTATAATATTTTTAGGAGTTTTGAGCATGAGATAAATATTTGAATTATTTATCCAACTTAAGTTAATTTCAATTATGTTAGAGTTGTTAATGAAATTTTTAGTATTGTTTTGAGTTATTAAGATTCATATCTATCATTTAAGAAAATATGTCCGTTTCCTTTACAATTTTTTTGCCACGTGGCTGATCTAAAACAGTAGCTAATATTCTTATTTTTTTCTTCTCATTAAATCCTATTTTTTCTATTCTTGTCTAGCCTTCCTCCATGTTGTTCGTAGCCCTGCCTCTCCAATTTCCCTTATTCATTGTCAATTTTGTAACTGCTATCCATGACTTCCTCTAATTCATCAACCGTCCCAAAATCATCATGGTTGCCATTCATTATAACCTCCCATTCTCTCAACTTCTATTACAGCTTCACCTGCCTCAAACCCTAGCATTTTTTTTGCATCTTCTCAATATGAATCGCAGAAGGGGAAGATGCGCAAAAAATGTACAAAAGATTCTTCTTCTTTCTCACTCTTCTTCTTCCTTCTACTTTTTCTTCTTCCCCTATCGCCACTAACACCAGGATTATGTTTCTGGTAACTCAAGGTATGTTTGAATGTAATATAAAGGGTTCAAGAACAGGAAAGTTAAGGTTTTTATGATCGATTTGATGATTTGGAGTGACGATATGTCCATGGCTATGTTTAGGTTTTTTTTCTTCTGTGTTCATGTTTAGAGTTTTAAACTTTTTGATGTTTTGTTTTCAGTTTATACTTTATGATATTGTGGGATTCGATAAAATGTTATTATACTCTAACTTGGTTGATATTTAGATGCATGAATATAATGTTGTGTTTATAGATCATGTCAATGGTGATTTTGTTGAAGCAACACACTATTGGATTTGAGGTACTGATTTGATACACAAATTATTGTTACAATTTCTGATAGTTACAATTTCTATTTTACATATAGAGCGATCCCGGTCAAGTTGATGTTTGGTCTGTGAAATGTCTACAACCGGGTACTGTGAACTTAAGGTTTCAGAGGGTATATACTATTGCAAAGAGGCTGGAGATTCCTATGCGCCCACTATGGTTGGTTTTGAATTTAAAAATGATTGCGTCTCCTTTTGGTTGGTATTACCGTACCTGCCATCTCTGCCCCTGCATTGCACGTGGTGACATTCCTCCCTTTGAGTGTGAGGCTGGTCATTCGACTGAGGCAGAGATCTTTAGGTTTCATCCCTTTCTCTTTGCCGATTGACTTTGATATGATGCTTAATCTCTCTTATGTATGTAATCGTACTTATTATCCCTTTTTACGTTTCATTTTCCAGGTACAAAATTGAGATTGGGGTTGCTTATGCAGGAAAGAGCTGTAACTTTGTATTTTGGAGAACTGATTTTGGGTGTATCTGGTTCTCAGATGCGTCATACTATGATCCAAGTTAGTACCTTGAATCAGATTGATTAATTTTTCCACCATGTTTAAAACCTGACCCTGATCATTCGTGTTACTTCTTATACAGGCTGGAATTCATGATGCGTTAGAATTTCCATTGGCGCTTGATCAGATGTTGAATTTGGAGATGGCCTTTAAGGTCAAGTGGCAGCCGCATTGGAAGAATTGTTCAGTTGTTATGCTGCTAAAAAATGACCCTTTATTAAAGAGCTTAAAGGTCCATGGGAAGTAATTAAGGTATGAAACATCCATCTGCCATTTCTATTATGTTATTTTATGTTGTTTACATTTATCCGTCTGCATGCTTATCCTATTCTAATTGGGATACAAAGGCTAATGTTCTGATCCCTCTTATAAAGACAGAGCCGCTACAGGTATTTGTCGCACTATACTTTTTTGTTGCTTCTTTGTTTAATTGATTATATGTTATATGTTACAGCTACTATTAATTGTCATTAGGTTAAAGAAAGCATTGATGAAGCCAAAACGGATGCTCCCGATGAATCTGATGTCGTAGCGGTAAACTTCATTGTTCTTTCCTGTTTGTGGTTGATTATCATATATGTACAAATATTCCTTTATCCATATAATTTATAATTTTTGTCTACTTTGATAAACAACAGGACATCGAGATCACATTTGAGCATAAACCGGGTTCAACAACACCTACTGGAAAAAGACAACTCCCGGGTGGATCAAGCGAATCAACCAGCTTTGAAGGACTTTGTGATGGAGAACTGTCGTCGAACAAGCTTAAAAAGATTATTAAGTTGGAAAAGGATGAATGGACAATGCTATAGTTTCTTATGTGTCTTATTTTTCTTATTTTGGTTTCGTGTTTCTTTTCATTTTTTATTTGGATATGTAACAACTGACTTAAGTTACCTTGGGTTGTAATAACTTCGTTTATTGTGGACAACTTTATGTTATATATTGTGTTGTTTTTGGATAATTATGCGTGACACTTTCATAATAGTTGTATTTGCAAGTTATTATTGTGCTACTACTGCTATTAAACACATTAGTGTCGTGCTATTACTGCTATTAAACACAAGATGTAGGTATGTTATACAACAAATTTCTGGATAGCTACGGTGCAGTCAAGAAGATACATAGCTTTTGCTCGACACGTGGATCTACATATCCTACAACACAACGCAATATTTGAAGTATACAGACTTTACCGACTGGGACGAACATACACATAGAAATATGATCAAACAAGCCTATAATCAGTTATATATGGAGAAATAAACTTCTCGATTTCATGATGTATAATTCATTTTTATTGTACTTTGCTACATGTATTAGTCTTTTTTAGATTTCTTAGGAGCATTTTGTGTTAGACGGTGTGGAAAGTGATCAAGAGGGGGGGGGGGGGGGTGAATAGATCACCTCCTTATTTATCAAGGATTTAAAATCTTTTATCAAAGTTTATTAAAAACAACGGAAAAACACGGCCCCGAATCAACCTCCATCTATTTTGAACCAACTACTAGAAAACTAGACATACGATAAACTTGCTGGATTTTATTTAAGATGAAATAGATCAAAATTAAACATAGATTGATGTACGTTTCAATGCACTTATCACAAGAACGCTATTTCCAATGAATAAAAACTTGCATGCAATTTTGTCGAACAATTGGTGTATGCTTGTTCGATGATCAACAATAATGGTGGTTTTAGCAAAAGAGTTTGTACCACTATTGTATCATTAAACAGAAAAACCAGCAAACCAATTGAATCACAAACTTGCATAAAACGTAAAGATAAAGAGAGAAAGAAAAATAATACACGGGCAGTTTGGTAAGGAAGTTCCACACTGTCGTCCTCGCGTGTGGGTACGTCTCCCTCTCAATTCCAAAATTGAAATTGAGACCTGTTATATCAATTTTTTGAATGTTGTTTACAAGGTTACAATACAAAGACATAACTTAATCTCTAAGATCTTCTTCTTCTTGTAAGAACCTTCACTTGATATGAGCTTATCAATATTCCCTGCAAGATCCGCAATCAGTCATCCGCTTCCACGACCTATTTGTAAAATCACCCCGATTTCTAAACCCCTCGCTACGGTTGAATCTGACTTGTGCAATTGTGACTAACAAACCCACAACAACACGCCCGTTCTTTAAGGACAAACCCTTTATTTTTTCCTCGAAACTCCCTTCTGAATCTTTAACTCAGCTTAGATCACTGATCGTACTGCTAAACATTATCTCTATGATCTCTTGATCTAATAACAAAGATGTTTATCTTTTGTTGTTGTTGAACCAAGATGATTGAGAAGATGATGAAGGTGAAGTATCTTTCAGGTTTCTAATGCTCAGAAATTTGATGCACACCAACTGTATTTGTGAGACCCCCTATTTTTGCTGCAAAAACTTACTTATATATGTAACAGAAAAAGGTTAGAGGTGAAAAAAATGCAGTATGAGTCGATGCATGTTTAACATGAGTTGACTCATGTTAGTTGTGAAACATAAGATGAGTCGATACAATTTGTTATGTATCGATACATACTGATGGCAAAACATATTACAGAGAGATCAAATATGTATGAGTCGATGCAAGTCTTTATGTGTCGATACAATATGTTTTCCATAAAGAATCCAGAACCATTCATTTTATATGAGTCGATACATAACGAGTATGTGTCGATACATACTGAGTTGATTTTTGATTTTGAAAACAAAATGTGATATGTATCGATGCATGAGTTTATGTGTTGATGCATAAAGGTTTTAAAACGTTTTCTAGGAGCATCAACTTGACATGTATCGATGCAAAGTATGAATGGGCCGACTCATACTGAAGCAAAATTGTTTTTGTGATTCTTTGCTTAAGTATGTGTCGAAGCAAGACCTTATGTATCGACCTGAAATTGTGCTTTATGTGTAAAACACATTTTTTACTCTTTTTGAACATGTTATACTATTGTCATATTATGCACACATATAGATTAAGCACATTAAGCATTCATTAATACTATTTTCACACATATTTGCAATCATACAAAACTACTTAAAGAAAAGGGTTGCTCATATTTTATTTTTATAGTTTCCATTTTTGTACAATGTAATGGTTCAATTTATAACCAATGAATCTTGGTTTACCTATTCAAATAAACATGTTTTTCACATTTTCTCATCATAATTTTTTCAATGGAATCACTCTATTTGTACTTTGACTTTAACTGACTTACTGTTAAAAAGAAATGTCAGGGACGAAGAAGCGGAATCGGGGGCGGCTGCCAAAAACTTCGGTGCCGTCGATACCGTTGAATCAAACTCCATCACTACCACAGTCAGAGACGCCTATTGCAAAGTAGAAGGACGATGCACTAATTGATACTGAAGCTATTACAACAGAAAACTCTGAAGAGAAGGAGGAACCTGCTGAAACCCTAGAATCTGAAGAGGCAGCGTCAGCAAATGTGAAGGATCGTAAACTACGGGCGGATGTACTAACTGAGAATTATAATAAAGCGAAGGGACTGATGATGAAATATATAGCTCCCACTGTGATTGACGAACGAGTGGAAATCGAGATTGATGAAGAAGATGCAGATCGTGAAATTCAGTATTGGAGAAACTCTCTCATCATGTACGTTCTTGGAGAAGACCTAAGTATGAATTCGGAAAGAACTACATGATAAAATCTTGGAATTATGTGAAACTACCTAACATTTTCTATCATGATGAAGGGTACTTCATTTTCGGATTCAAGTCCAATAAGGAGATGGATGCGATATTGATGAAGGGCCCCCATACATTCAGAGGTATGTCGATGATTCTGAAAGAATGGAGACCGGGTTTCAATCTCAAGAAAGACATGATGAGAATAATCCCTATCTGAATAAAATTCCCTATGCTTCCCTTACACCTTTGGGGCAAATCCAGTTTGAGTATGTTGGCCAGCGCGATTGGTATTCCCATTGTGACAGATGAATGTACTGCAAACAAGCTGAGGGTGTCTTATGCTAGATTTCTAGTGGAAGTGGACATAACCCAAAAACTTCTTGAAGAGATTAGCATCAAGGATAAGGAGGGTAATTATGTCATTCCAAGAGTTGAATATGAATGGAGACCCAAATATTGTGAGAAATGTCAAGCAGTGGGACACAATTGTGAAGTAAGGAATAGGAAGAATCAGTGGCAGCCAAAGAAAAAGCTTACAGTTACTAAAGAGAGGACTGAACCTGAGAATGAGACTACCTTGAATACATACTCTACTGTGGCAGCAAACAATATTGAGGTAATCTCTACTCCTAAGGGGAAGAGTAGCCATAGTTCTGTTCAATGTGATGAGGATATTTGGACTATGATAAGTAAACAGGGCAGAGTCAGAGGGCTATCAGCTGGTCATATTGGTACATCTTCGGACATCCCTTGTGTGAATGGCTATGGGGTGCTAGGGGGTTTGAACGAGTCTCTAGTCGCCTTTGATAGGGGACCATGATAGTCTCTTGGAATGTTCAGGGGCTTAACAAGGTTGGAAAGTTAAAAGAGATTAGCTCCCGTCTCTTAGAGTTCCAACCTACAATTAGAATTTTGATTGAAACTAGAGTAAAAGAAAGAAAAGCTAACAAAGTTAGAGAGAAACTCAACATGAAAAGGTCATATATGGATAACTACAATGCTCATCCTAATGGAAGGATCTGGATTCTCTAAGATGATACTAAGGTGGATTTGAAGATGATAAACAACTCAAGTCAACATGTTCATTATGGAGTATATACTGTTACAAGGGAGTTCCTTTATTGGCTGACTTCTACACATGCCCATAACCATTTAGATATAAGGAGGAATCTGGGGAAACAAATTGATAGCATCCATGATACTCAATCTGGATCTTGGTGTGCTATAGGGGATTTCAATAATATTGCCACTGCCCAGGATAGAATAGGAGGGAACCTGGTTAGTGAAAGTGAATACATATATTTGACCAACATGATGAAGAAAACAAAGTTATTTGAGATGGACAGTGTGGGTGGTCACTTCACTTGGTTTAACAAACATGCTATAGGTACAATTTATTTTAGGGTTAATAGAGCCATTTGCAATGCTGCTTGGTTTTTTCAACATACTAATCAAGTCCTGAGTATTCTGCCTCCCAATGTCTGTGATCATTCCATGTTTCATATTAGTGGCCCTGATGATACAAAAAGGAGAAGTCACTTCAAATTCAATAACTATATTCTGGATTTAAATGGATTTCAAGAGACGGCAAAGGATTCTTGGGATAAACTTGCAAGAGGTAGTCCAATGCAAATTCTTTGGTACAAGCTTCATAGGTTAAAGACAGCTATTAAGAGTTTCAGCAAGCAGTCTGGAAATCTGAAGTAGAGGATAATTGCTGCTAGAGAGAACCTTCACAAAGCTCAAACTGATCTTATGAATAATAGGCAGGATAGTAATGCTATTGAGCAAATTAAAATGCTCACTGAAGAAGTCATAAAGTTACATGATCACGAGGAGAATAGAATCATGCAGAGGGTTAAGCTTGATTGGATCATACAAGGTGATGGAAATAATAAATTTTTCTTTGCTTATTTGAAATCTAGGAAAAACAGAAACTGTATTAAATTCCTGCAAAAATATGATGGGGAGGTCATAGCAAATTGCAGCAACATTGAAAAGAGAGATAATGGACTTTTATGATGGCCTGTTGGGAGAGAATGTTAACAGAATAAAGCACATTGATGTGGAGGCTATGAGGAAGGGTAACCAAATCCATGTAGAGCAAAAGGATCTTCTTGTGAGAAAGGTGTCTAATAAGGAGATTGAATAAGCCC